CCCCAAAACCCCAAAACCCCAAAACCCCAAAACCCCAAAACCCCTCAAAATAAACTCTTAGTTGAAGATTGATTGGGTGTATAATCTCATTCTTATCTGTAATCTAGGATTAATGAGTATAGTGACTAAAAGTGGCAAAATGATTTCCCCAGAAATCTTGAGTCAGAGACTTAGCAACACATATGTTGTTGTTTGCAGTATTAGCCCATACTTGAGCACTATCTGGGTTTAAAACAGTTGCCTTGAATTTAGTGAATGAGAACAGATCTTCATCATCAGCTTGTTGAGCAACAAATAAGTCATGGCAGATACTTCCAGTTTGAGGATCATTCTGGCTAAAACGGCTACATTTAAAGCTGTTTTTTTTATCAACCCAGTTGAAGTAGAGATATTGAGCAATCTTGTCACCAGCTTTGAGAGGACACCAAGCTTTACTATCTTTATTGAACCCACACAAAGATTTTTCAGTTTTGTTTGTTTGGAGTTCAAACATCTTTGGATCTTCATGAGTGTAAGTTTGAATGATACAGTTACTCCCTTTGGCTTTACGAGAAAGATCAGGAATCAGATTTGTATCCGCTTTTCTACATTGGAATAAGTTCTTTCCTAGTTGAACTTGATTAATGGACTCACAATGACTACTGAAGGTTGGTTCAAGTTGCTTTCCTTCCAAATTATCTGTTTCTTTAATATTGAAGAATCCAGTGTCAGCATATGAAAAGAGAACTCCATCATCAAGATAACTGTCTGGAATACAAATATTTTCTTGATTGTCATGTTCAACTAATTGGAGGCAGCTGTGCCCAATTTCGCACTCGACTAGAGTTATGGTTAGTAAAAGAAAAACGAAAGAATGAATCTGAGCATTTTTGATTTTTAAAAGAAATTTTTCATTCACAATTTAAAATAAGCTATCATTAAGAATAATTTAAAACCTTGTTTTCTGCTGAAATCCTAATGTTATACAAATTTTGATATGCATTTTTACTTATCTCAATCTCCAGTAGCTTATCAAAAAAATACTTACTTTCTTTGGTACAATTCTGTCCTGCCTTGCGAGATTTGACACAAGTTTTTGAATCACAGAAGTGCCCCATTGGACAGTCAATATGGACCTTGCATTTAGATCCTTCCTTAGTAGAAGCTTTGCAAACATTATCTTCACATTTTGCTTTCGAATAGTAAGATCTATGGCAGTCTTTATATGACTCGCAGTGATCGCCTTCGACGCCAACTCCCAAATTATTAGCAAAAGGCTTCTCTTCTTCCTCTCCTTCTTCAGGCTCAATAACCTCACATCTAGCTGGGTACTGAAGAGCGCCTGGTGATTTGAATCCAAAGGTCTTGCAGAAGCTATTCTTTTGATTGCATTGCTTTACATTCCAAGATCCGAAGTCATTTTCATCTCTCTCAGCACAGTGTTTGACTCTCTCTTCATTTTCAATAGAGCTACATGAGAATACCCTACATTCATCTCTTGAATAAACAAGAGCGATGAGGGTTGCGAATATAGCCAAGATTAGCTTCATCTTAATATTATTATAATCACCAACAATAATTTATAACTCCTAGGGGTTTTGGGGTTTTGGGGTTTTGGGGTTTTGGGG